GTCAACTCAAAGACATTGCTGTATACATTATTGTCACCAGAAAACTTTTCATTTTTGTGTTTATGAAATGTTTTATTTTTCCCTGATCTCCTCCCTCCCACCCCATATTACTCACTTCCTATTTTTTAAAAGAATTATTTTATTTAACTTTTTTAAAATTTAAATTTGTCCAGAGAGGGACAGAGCAACAGAGAGAGAGAGAGAGAAAGAGAAAGAGAGAATGAGAAAGCAAGCTGCCAGGTCCAGGACTCAAACCATGGTCAGTCATATGGGAGTCCAGTGCCCTTAACCACCATGCCACCTTCCAGTCCCCCCCCCAACTCTCTATTGTCCTCCTTCTATACTGCCTCTAGTATCTACACTTGGCCTCCTTGCTAATCTTTCAGTTTCTGGTATAGAGAGCAGACATTCAGTATTTAAAAAAAATTTTCCCCAGCATGAATACACTGTATATGAGTCCAGTAAAAAATATTACCTTTCACATCATCATCAACACATAATTTTCCATTTTCGTGTCTGTTAAAGGTTTTTCTTCTTTTTCCTCTTTGACTCCCTCGCTCCCACCCCACCCCCTGACATTTTCAACCCCTGTGATTTCCCAGCCACCTCCCACACTGTCTTTAGTATCCACAGTTGATTTCCATGTTTTCATAACTTAATATCTTTCAGTTTCTGCCATAGAGAGTGCAGACATTCAGTGAGTATTGAGTGGGGACATATAGTGCCCATCTTTCATAGTCTCGTTTGTTTTGCTTAGCATTAAATTTTCCATATTTGTCCACGTCCTATCACGTGTCAGGGTGTCATTGTTTTTTTTTATGGCTGAATATTATTTCATAGACTATATGATCCACACTGTTTTCAGTCCATTCATCTGTTCTTGGACATTTGGGTTGATTCTATGTCTTTTTAAAACCTAATCTGCAGAACAGCCAGTGAGGTAATATTGCTTCCAATTTGTGTAAGCAAATGGATGGCAGAGAGGTTGAGCAATTTGCCCAACCATATTGTTAGGATGTGTCTGGCTCCTATACCCAGATCTTTGATGTTCTTTCTGTCTTAAGGTAGCTGGAGAATTTGGAAAGTATCCCTCTCATGCTCTTGCCTCAGGGATTTTTATGAAACCAATCATCAATACGACATTTTTGATACTGTGAGGGTTGAAAGATTAGAGAAGGGTGAAGTGATTTGTATAGCATAGACTCATGGAATCACAGCAATTCATTCTTCCAGCTTCCCTCAATCAGATATTGAGAATGATCAGTGATTCATGTACAGTTTCATTCATAGAGCCATGGGAAATTAGAGCTCAAAACTAGAAGAACCTCAGAGACCATCTGGTCTAACTGCTCCATTTTATTGATGAAGAAACTAGGACCCAGAAAGAGCTAGCAATTTGCTTGAGATCATATAGCTCAAATATAATGATAGAAAAAGAGTTTCCATCTGTTATTATTCATTCTTCTAATGAATGTGCCAAAGGTGAAAGTTTCCTCCAGAATAACTTCAGAAAAACATAATGAGAAAGTAAGACAGTGTTATGAAAAAGTCACTGTAGTGGGTCAGTACACTTGGATTCCCACATCAGTTCAAATCTTTAGGACACCTGACTTCTCTGTTCTGTTTCTCTACCTGGGAATGGATGAGTTGGAACAGATGATCTTTTAGAAAGCCTGCACTTATGAAACACTCAAGACATTTTATTAAATAGGTAGAGAAGTGAAGCTTTACATAAATTCTAAATGTTAGGCTATTCTTGGGAGGTTTATAATAATACATAGTTGAGAAACTGAAAAAAGGGAGTAGGCATTTTTTTTTTTTTAAAGAACAAGTACTATAATTGAAATGCCTTTAGGGACAAGCACATGAATACATTTAGAAAAATACAAAAGGTCACTTCTTCAGAAAATAGAAGTTTCTGATTATTTCCAAGTAAATATCCAAGACACAGTGACCAAGATAATAATAAACCTGTTCTGGTTAATATCATGACACTAGTTAATGCAGCAGCGTGTGTGGATGGGAATATCAAACCATTTACTTCATAAAATCTTAATTTTGTATGTTTATTTCCTTTGGGATGAAAAATCAACTCAATCTTATTTTAAATAAAAAAGTTAATACTGTAATTTGGAGACTAATAGAGAATCATTTACTCATTCAAGTAATATTTACTGAATATTTACAATGCATATAGACAGAATTAACCTAAATGGGAAATTTCAGATATGATACAAGAATATGAAACTAACATTGAAAACCTGCCTTTCTCATGATGCAAGCTATGTGAACAGATTAGAGGTGTTTGTTTAAACCTTCATAGCCTGAAACTTTCAGAGGGGAGAGGCAGAACAGATGATGATGTGTGTAGGGGGTGAGTGGGAGGGCAAAGAGTACAGCTCTGTAAGCAGAAGCTGGAGCAGGCAGCAGAAAATGATCATATTGATATATTCTGACTTCTTCTCCCACCTTTCATGATGGAATAATAATAGAGATCTGTTCCGTGTGTATTGTATCACCCTTCAGAGTTTATGGAGTGCTTTCACATTCATTATCTTATTTGATCCTCATGCCAACCCTAAAAGAAGGCATAACAGGTATTGTTTTTTCCAGTTTTAAAATGAAAAAATATGAGGTTCAAAAAGGTTATGTGATTTTTCCATAGCTGAACGACAATAGAAATTAGTGTCAAGACTAGAACTCTTCTCTTTGTCTCTGAAATCAGTTCTCTTTCTGCTACCTCCATTCAGCCCAATATTTTCTCCTCCAGTCTTCCCATGTGGAAGTTAAAATTTCTGAGTGTTCTCTTAGACATGTTGCTGTGCACAGCATCAGGGGTTAACCTCTATAGTTTGGGAAGAACACAAGGGAGTGAAGTACTACAAGCAAAAGACCCTTCTTTTATCTGTTTTGGGCAAGCTGTGTGTGTATGTCTGAGGGATAGTTAAGGAATGAAGCATGGAGATTATACTTAAATTTCTCTAAGATTCACTTCTATAAATCTAAATTGATAACAATGTATGTACACAAACCACATCTTTCCTTCTATTTGGTAGAATAGTAGAGAAGAAATGTAATAAATACATAAATGAGAGTGGTCACGAGGGAATGGAAAAAGTAGAATTCAGTGAGCACCTAATATGTAGCAAGTGCTTTACTTACAATATTTCATTTTCATTCTGTCTTCAGAATTGCCCCATGGTGTAAGTCCTACCAATGTCTCTTTCACAGATTAGTGAATTGAAGCTTAGTTAGGTTTATTTCTAGGTCATGGAGCCTGTGATCACCTGAGCTAGGATTCAAATATGTCCATCAAACTCCAGATTTAAAGATCCTAACTACTACAGCCAGAAAAGAACCAGGCCAGGGAATTTTAAACCATGGTCACCGTGTGAGATCCAGCTTCTGCATGAGCAGGGCATTACCACTGCACCATGGAGCCTATTCATGACTTTCTTTTTAAAAAAGGTTGAGAGAGTTTGCAGAGGTTCACTTGTCCAGATCTAGCCACATACAGAGATGCCTTCCAGATACCACTCACTGATGTCCAGTGAGCCATAGGACTCTGTGTTAAATTCTATAAATGGAGATAGATTTGCATGGGCTCAACCCTCTCTGTGTGTGGTTCTTCACCCCAGGACAAGGCCCAGGCATTTATGTGAGGTGGCAATCATTAGAGATAGCCTGTGCCCAGATAGAGAGACAGAACCCATACACTTAGCCTCAGTGCTTCTTGACTCCACCCATTGTGTGATCTGGTCCTTTTCTTGTACATATATATTCAGTACATTTTTGTGGAATTCACAGCCTGTTTTTCTGCCTTACCTTTACCCTAAGCATGGTGAAAGAATCACTCAGGTGATGATCACTCAGGCTTTGCGTGATTCCTAAAGTGCTTAGTCCTTCTTTGGTTGCTGTTTCACAGGATCTAAGTGATACCTTTAAACTTGAGCCTAGTTTCTTATAACCATTTACGGGCATTATGATTTCTGCAATAATGTACTACTGAAGAAATCATCAAAATCCTGGAAAACCCTATACTGGTCAAGCAGAACAGTAAGTATTGGTGACTTTTGTTTCCAAACTAATGTCATAAATACAGAAGGAGAAGTGGGACTTATGAGAGGAAAGGAATCGAGGTGAAAAGAAAGAAACAAAACACTTAAGGGACACAAAAATGGAAAACTATCTGCTGATGATAATGTGTATGATAATATCTTTAGCCGGACTAATATACTGTGTATTGATGCTGTGAAAATTCATTTTGCATGCAGTAATGATGATATACAGTGATTTAATGTATAAAACATTTTTAAAAAAGAAGAAAAGCACCTGGAAAAGGAGTAATAGTCACTGAATAATTTTGTTTAATTAAAATAAAAGGAGATTGAGATGGAATTCCTAGAATCATTTTCTTCAAGAGTTCACAGCCTTCTTTCAGTAAAGAGAATCTCTTGATGATATTTGTTTCTTTCTCCCTCACTTATTGATTCCTTCAACAAATATTCAGTGCCTTTTGCATTTGAGCTCTTTAATTTCCTCTCTGTGTTCCATTTACCTTCTAAATTTTCTTTACCTTCTTTATGTCCTTTTTGTTTCAGCCATTACATCTTTAACATTATTCCTTGGACATGGTGATACTATTTGGGAAGAGGTTTAAACTGAGAATATTGTCTCCCTCACTTATTGATTCCTTCAACAAATATTCAGTGCCTTTTGCATTTGAGCTCTTTAATTTCCTCTCTGTGTTCCATTTACCTTCTAAATTTTCTTTACCTTCTTTATGTCCTTTTTGTTTCAGCCATTACATCTTTAACATTATTCCTTGGACATGGTGATACTATTTGGGAAGGGGTTTAAACTGAGAATATTGATGGGGGAGGGATTGGAGATTTTCATGGATTTATATTTTTACCAACATCCAGTTTTCTTTTCTTTCCTCACTTAAAGCATGTCTAAAGAGTTTTTAACAAGTTAAGAATATTTTTCAACTTACTTTAATGGAAAATTCATCTACAGTGACTGACTTCATCCTTCTTGGCATGACAGATAACCCTAAGCTTGAGGTCCTGCTATTTGGAATTTTCTTTATGGTTTATGTTGTCACTGTGTTGGGAAACCTAGGCCTGGTGGTCCTAATCAGAGTCAGTCCTCGCCTCCATACTCCTATGTACTTTTTTCTCTCTAATCTGTCCTTACTTGATGTCTGCTTCTCTTCCATTACAACCCCAAAAACTTTAGCAAATTTGTTATCTAAGCTGCATGATGTTTCTTTTCTTGAATGCATAACTCAAATGGGCTTGTTCATAATCTTTGCCTCTGCCGAATGCAATTTTTTGGCTTCCATGGCCTATGACCGTTATACTGCCATCTGTCACCCACTGCTCTACCACATTACCATGTCGAGAGTCCGTTGCTTTCTCTTGGTAGTAGGATGCTACTTTGGTGGGTTAGTTAACATGGTTGCTGTGACAACTTCCATAACACAACTATCATTCTGTCAACCATATGTCCTCTCCCACTTCTTTTGTGACATCCCACCACTACTCGCACTGGCTTGCTCAGACCCCTGGGTCACTCAGCTTTTGATTGTTGGTTGTGGTGGATTCACCCTGGTCACCTCTATTGTGGTGATCCTTATCTCCTACATGTTCATCCTAATGACTATCCTGGGAATTCCTTCAGTTTCCGGAAAACAGAAAGCCTTCTCTACCTGTGCTTCCCACTTAACTGCTGTTGGCCTGTACTATGGAACAACTATGTACACTTACTTGCAGCCCTCTGGACATGGATCCCAAGCAGGAAATCAGACTATCTCAGTATTTTATACAATGGTGATTCCCATGTTAAATCCTCTCATCTATAGTTTGAGAAACCAAGAAGTGAAATTTGCTCTACAGAAAATATTGAAGCACAGTCCCTAATCTTCCACTGTGAATCTCAAAAAATTAATGTTTTATGAAATCTTGCTCACAGTTTTATTCACAGTGTTTTCTTTGCCTGAAAATGAAGCCTTGTTAAGAATAATTGAATTGTTCTGCCTAAGTGTTTAGAAGTAGCTGTTTAGGTAAAGAGCAAGGTTAGGGGAAATTATGTTGATGAAATAATGTATACTTTATAAAATAATTGACTAATAAGAAATATGTAAGAGGGACATATGTAAATATGTGGATGTTAATATGTCAATCTGAGTGGTTATGACTAAATCCAACATAACAGAAAGAGTTATTTTTTAAAAAAAGCAGTGCAATTTGACCGTTACACATAGATGGTAATGAATGTAAATATATTTGCAATATCCATGTGCTTATACTAAGAAATTGGTTAGTGTTCCATAGACTGGATTAATTTCAGTCCATATCTCTCATAATATTTTGTAAAAATCCTAGATGTATGTCTTCAAAATGCTATACCACCACTGCTACTGTGGGGCTGTAAAATGAAAGCATCTACATGGATAATCACGTGTAATAATTGAGATCTACAGGACTAAATCAACAGGGTGATACTGAGTTAAATAGATTGGGTTCATAAATTACAGTTTTAGGATCCTTTGTAAAGGACAATAGGTTTTTTGGTTACTGGAAACTCCAGGCCTGAACTGCAACTATGATTTTTTTATATGGAAATTCTGAGTGGACCTGGGCCAAATCTCTTACTATTGCTTTTTTTTTTTTAGGTTTTGTTTTGCTATAGGGCGCGTGCGCTCACCAGACAGACAGAGAGAGACAGAGAGACAGAAATCAACCCCTGGGGGAGATGGTCATGCCGCAATCCCTTCTCCTCCATTCTCCTCTCGCGATCTTGGGCACGCACACACACATGCCTGGCATGAATTTTCAGCCACCGGGTCTGGGACACAAACCACGGTCAACTACGTGGGAGTCCAGTGACATAGCCATTACGCTAACTGCTGGTCCCCAAATCTTTTACTATTCTTAAATATGCTTCCAATAGGAAATGCAAGTGTAAGCACAATTCCCCTTAATTCATTAGCTCATGGTTAGTCCTCAACTATCTTGTCTGAATATTTTGAACAAGTGATCCATAAAACCATAAAATCCGATTACTCCAGGTTATTAATATTTTGTTTTTATAGATGAGAAAACTAAGGCTTAAAGAAGAGTATGTGATCAAAATCACACTAGTTGAGGAGAAATAGTCAAGCTGACTTCAGCTGCAAGACAAAAGAGAAAGCAGTATTTATCTATCTACCAAGTTTGGGTCAGGCACAATCTTTGGATCTGAAGAATACTTTTTCTTCTGCCTTTTATTCTAGAAACTGTGTAGCCAGAGTAGCTATCTTCCAAGAACTCCTAAACACTAGTTGTGAGGAAGAGAGTGTGGTTTACTTGGTATCCATGTGAAAACCAATTCCCTTAGAACACTAGACTCTTCTATCCAGCTGCCAGCTAAAACTTCCACTTGGTAATTTCTCAAGTATTTCAAACAATGTTTCGAAAACTGAGCCCCC